CAATATTCAAGGAAAATCACCAAGTTTGACGCTGTTTGATTTATTGAAATTGCAACAGTGCAATACACACAGAACAGAGGCAGCTGTTGCTGGTGTTGTGTCCCGCACATAGAAACGAATACTGGACAGACAATACTCATTTTCACTTGAGTCTAGTGGGGAAAGTCGTGTAAAGTGCCTTTCCCAAGGGCACAAGATCGGTGGCATGTCAGGACTCGAACCCGGGACCTCTTGATTCCGAATCGCGTACGCTGCCGTTGCGCCACACGACCCCACCAAACGCTGTTTAAAGTTGGCGTTGGTCCGGTATATATAGATAGGGTTTATAAATCCATAAAAATGATCTGTTCAAATTTTTGATGGCGGAATAATTTACAATTGCAGTCGCCAAATAAATGGCCGATGAACAACAATATGGTACTCGTATGGGTCCCGGGTATGGGTATACGAGGCTAAATGCTGACTGTGACTTTGTGACAAGAATTTCAAGAAGCTGCATTTTAGCATATTTTTCTTATGTAACTTCTTATGTACAACCACGATGGTCAGATTTGGGCCCAAAAGTCCCACTCCGCTACTATGGAGATCGAACCCCCCGAACCCGGGAATCTTGTTCGATATGACGTCATTCAAATAGAACGGGCGTTCGATCTGGGGTTACCCGCGGTCATTTACAGTAAAGCCGCTACAACCGGCTACTTCAAGCCCTTTTTTACTTGGGAACCACGGAACAGGAAAAATCCACCTTTCCACAAATATGAACCGTTTTCAAAACATAACATCTATGCCGTGATTTTATTGTGGATATGTAACATGTAACGAAGCTTCTGCCGTCATCGTGGGTGACCTTGAAGGTCAGAATTCTTGTTGACGCTGTTATAAAATCCAGGTCCCCATATCCAAGTGGCACAGCATGCGTGCAAACATGGTATTTTAACCATTCCCAAAAATCGCTCAAATTACCTCATTGAGGGCTTGTTTGGAAGAGGAACGATTTCCGCAGATTTCTGTCTTAGGAATTTTTTAAATATGGCCGCCATTATGAATTATCGGTATTTAAAGTTAAAACACAGCGTTTTTAGCTCTTCTTTTGACTGTAAGTCGAGTTTTAGTTAAAAAATCAAAAAATCCTAAGACAGAAAGTTTAAATTTACTGTAATATTTCTAAAAATCCAAAAATCTAACCTTATTTTTAATTTTCGGGGTCCTCTTAAAATCAGTTGTTTGGTTCTCGTGAACCCTTTTTGAAATCCGAAATTGATCTCATTTGGAAGCAAATGTACACAAAGTGGAGCAAAGGCAGTGCAAGAATAACATTTGAGGTAAACAAAATCACCTATTACATTTTATTTTGACGAGTATTTACTCTCCAATTACTTTTGTTTATTTTCAAATTTTACCCGTTGCCCCCGGGCCGGCCCGGGACTCCCGCGCGGCCACGTTCGAACACGTTTTGTAACCTGATACCTCCCTAGTAATGCGACTT